TGTAGTCCAGACGTTAGAGCTGTACATATACATTGTAGGAACTGAGGGCGAATCAAACACAAATGAATCTTCCAGGTGATTCATTCAAACATTATTACACACAGAACTCAACCCGCAAAACACCAGTCTAATCACGGGCCATAAATGGAGTGGGCTCCTGCCAGTCCCAGCTAAGAACCACAAAACAATGCAAGCTTCAAAGAGATGAGCTAATAGAGGAAGAACTGGTCAAAGTAGGATAGTTTGGTTCAGTGATGGCACGGCTCGGGACCCACCAAGATAACAGCAGAGATGTTTGATCCCAGGACAATGGATTTAAAACAGACCGCCGTACTCATAAATACCTCTGAAGGACCCAGAGCTGAAATCTCTCACAACCACAGAGACAGAGACTAAAAAATGCATAATTTTTTCATCCCAAAACAATTCTTGACGTACTTGTAAATTTAAATGCAGTTGCAAAGGGAGGATTAGCATTTTAAGGGTTTCAGTTGGGTTTTATTAAAGTCGGCATGAAATCAAATTTGACACATCTTCTTTATATATGTAATATTGTAGTGTTTATTATAAATGACTTATTTGTGCACTTCATTATTTTTTTAAAATTCATGTACTCTTATAATCTTTAATAAAACACATTACCCTTCCCTCCCCCCTCGAAATGACCTCTCTTCTCTTTCGGTCATGTGGCATGGCGAAAGGTTGCGGTCAGATCCGATGAGGGTGTGGCTATCGGTGCACCTCCCATCAGAGAATCGCATTCAAATCTGCCTCCATTTTGTTTGCAACACCCAACCTACCAACGATCCAATCAATTCCTGAAGAACAAAATCAAGCCCCGCCCTACATTTTTTTCTAATTTCAGAAGCCGTTTCACTCGGATATACGTCACAACAAAGAAAAAATGACAATCTCAACTTCCGTTTCATGCCGACTTTAAAATTACTAGATCAGTACTGGCCATTCAACACATGTATAATGCATTGCCTTTAAACGTCAGCACTTGTTAATTAAGATTTGGATTTAATATTGGTGGGGGGAAGGGGGGTGTAATAGAAAAAAATGGAGGCTGCACATACCTTTAATAAATCAGTAGTCTTAATTTGGTGAATGTGTGATTTGACAGTGTGAAGGTCTGCAGGGAGTTCGCCTCGACACATCTCAAGAATCATCTAAAAGATTATTCACAGTGAACAAAACATACAACAATTAGTTCACAATCGACAGTATCATATAGGTTTTGAAGTTAATTCGATCTCAAATAAAATAAGGAGTTTTTCTCATGTTTAAGTCACAAAGTAGCCTGTAAATCTATAAATTTTAAATTACAAAATTAAAAAGCATGCATCTCCTTAAAGATCCCCTATCATAGCATTTGAAATGTTCCTATTTTTGTTTTAGGAGTTCCCAAAAACAGCTTAACATGCATGCAAGGATAGAAACACTTTATTTGTCTTGTAATATGCATTTATTTTTAACTGATTTGCTCACCGACTCCCAAATGATTCGTACAACGACTCATTTTTCCAAACCACTCCTTTGCGTGACGCTAATCGGCGGTGACGCATAAACATATTGATAAAGCACTGCAGTACTACAAGACGCTCTATTCTTTATGACAACTCCAATAACAGTGACAAACATTTCACATATTTAAAAAAAAAATTGACATTGGAGACCTAGAAGCTGCGCTGAGCGTAACTTACACACACACACACACATACTTATTGCGCCTCCCCTCCTCACGCCCATAAAAGCGCCCACAAATCCCATAAAAGACACAATTATTAATAATACTTACAGGTTTTGATTCGGAGGAGGAAGCTGATTCATATACACTGGGTAAGTAAGTTACTGAGCCCTCCTTAAGCAACAACCGCTTGCGAATCCACATTTGAATTCATTTATGTTTTTGAACGATTCGTAAAATGATGAGAACACAATCGGGATGTGGTTGTGGTATCGTTGCAAATATGAACCCTAACCACCGATTCTTCACATGCTCGTCCCTGGTAAATGAAAACAAAGTGGCTGAACTATCTTTGCATTGTAGGACACAGTGTCTTCTCGACATGATGCTTTGATGAAGTATTTAAATGTGTGTAGACTTCAAGTTTACACTTCTGTCTGCGCGCGCAGTAACTGGGCGCGGCCAATGACCTCTCTACATCACGATGTAACAGCTAATGACTCGTTTCAAAAACAATAGGGGATTATCACGCTGATACGTAGGACTTCCGGATTCAGTGATCTTTGTGCACTGCCACTTCCGTTGAATCACAGATCTCGCTGGCGAACTGATGACGGACTACACTAAGTTTATTTATACGCCATCCCTGGTAAATTAGTAAACAAACGTGCTACCTTGTTTTATTTTAAAGTTTTAATCCACTTCTTCCTTATACTCAATTCAGTCAGGAATCCATGAAAACTTACGTAGGGTTGGCGTTGTTGGTTAGATTTACAAAGTGGAACAGAGCAGTGACATATATAGCCTTCGTCTCAGCCATTGTTGAACTGCGTCGGAAGTGGACATGCACAAAGTTAACAAATCCCGCCCATGAAACCCGGAAGCGTGATAATCCCCTATTCATTTCATAGACTCAGATTCGACTCTCACTTTTGAAAGACAATAACTTTATATACGGTGCACTTTCAGATATAAATCTTTGCAGGATGTTTTCATTCCCTTAGAGCTATATTCCACACTATATGAATGAACAGTCATTTTCAAAAATCCATGATAGGGGCTCTTTAAGAACGGAAAGATTTAGCCGACATTCCACTTTTTGAAAATGAAAAACACTTTTTGTAAATTCAGCAGAACGCTAAAAAATTAAACAATTGTTAAATATTACGTCTGCATATTGTTCTGAAAGCAAGTAGGGTCTCATTTTAAAGGCTGTGAAGGTTGCATTGATTGGCCGCATTCGTCGAAGCTGCAACAATTATAAAATTCACTATTAGCTCTTAAGAGTCATAACTAACGTTACTATAATTTCTTTCTTACTTAAGAATGTGATGGTTGCTTTTGTGAAATGACAGAGCAGGTAGTAATCTTTTTCCAAGCACACTGCCTATATTGTGTCAGGAAATGTGTTGCATGTGCAAGAATAGATTACGTAACATCGGACAGACACATTATACACTTTAACTGGAGGAGAGCAGTGCACACAGAGCTCAAAGAAAACTGTAACAAATACATAAACACATCTAACCTTGGCTCGCAGCCCTACTATCAAAGTGGCTCTCTGTCTCCTACTTAAGAGTTCTGGCACGAGGTTTGTCATCACTGAAACAAATTCTTCCAGTTTTCCAAACTGCTCCACATTCTGATTCTGGACCACTTGCCACATGAAGGCAGATGTAAGACGAAGGGGAGAAACCAGCAGGCGAAGTGAGGAGAGAGGAGGGACGGACTCTACAGAGACAGAGATATACAAACATTTATGAAAAGGATTAACAATGTTTTGGATGAACACACACGTATATTAATTTATACGTAAAATATTGTAACAAAAACAATTAATAATTGCGTTACATGCCAGAAAATAGCCATCAGTCTCACCAACATGATGTACTAGCTGTGTACTTCAAAGCTATGATCATCTAACCTAAAGTTCAACAGCGGAGCCATGAGAAAAGCTGTAGCTCTGGGCATTACAAATCTGGAAAATAATATAAATTATTGCAATGTAAATAATTATACACACCCATTGCTTCTTTCTTTAAAAATATGGACTGACAACAAACAGTCTTCTTTCCAACTTCGTCCGTTGACTAGTTCCGTTACACACTGCGCATGCGTATGAAATAGACTGCGCAATAGATAGAACGGAAAAAGCGTAATACTTTTAAAGGGGCGGGCTTATCGGCTTTGTCTCTGATAACTCTGGTAAGATTGTTGTAAAATAACCAGTCCCTCTGTAAACTGTATAAAAACATGTATGAGTCTCTTTCTTTCTAATTTTTGTTTGTTCGCTTTTTTTGTCTAAAATGTATTTTTTTTCCCTTTTGTATTTTTTTTGCACTTTTGTAACCCCCTTAAATGTTTGAATTTTGCTTTTGATTATTGTACTAATTATGCAATTTTTTTTGTTTGTTTGTTTTTTGTAACCAATGTAAGCATAGGCGTATATGCACTGATATATGAATGGTTTATTTTTGTATGCATAGTATTGTTCCCTATTTGAGTTTGTAAATTGATACTGTTTCAATTAAAAAAAAAAAGATTGTTGTAAAAAATAATTATCCAATGTTTACTTTCACTTTCTGAAAGTTTAAAACTATCTATATATATATATATATATATATATATATATATATATATATATATGACATTACTTGATATATGTTACTTGATATATGTTACATTACTTGACATTACGTGATATATGTCACTTTTCTAAGCGGAGCTCAAGATGGACCAATCACGCCGTTTATGATTATTGCATTCGGATGCATTTAAAAATAATTGTAGACATATTAATAAGGCTACATATGATTGTCAGATAGCAATCTGTGCAGCAATCTCATTTAAAAGAAGTGTACAAACATCTCCAGTGAGACGAAAAACCTCTGTAGAATTGAATGAGGTGCTATTGACTCTCCGTCTTCATGAGCCATCAGGCTCCCCCTGGAAAACAGCACCATGCGTCTTTAAGCCTCCCTCACATCTTCTTTCTTTCAGTTGTGTACTGCACAAACCGAGAGTGTACTGCCATCTACCGTTCAGTATAAGTATGTATACTGTAAACATCTCATATTATTCACCACTGTCATAAAAAAAAGAAATTAAACAAATGAATACATTGTTTGACGATGATCATTAAAAAAAAGTATTACTTTAACAGTAACTATAAAGATCACTGGTTGCTTAACCATATGGAACTATGAATATGCATACTATGCAGACTAGTAACCAAACACAGTATGTCCAAACAATATGCCCTAATCTTCAATGATGCAATGCTACTGACCCATGTAAAATGACTGAAAACTTTATGGTAAGGGTACTTTATTCCATAAATTACACATACACTACAATGGAAAATGTAAAAGTGTTAAGCTCTGACATACAGTAGGCATAAGTGGCATTGAGAGACATAATATATTTTGTGAAAAAGTACAGAAAATTATATATAATCAAAATGTTTAAGTTTTGTGAGAAATGGACTACATAAATTGCATAGTGTTTGTTTAATGAAGTGATCTGACGTGTAGTGAGATTTTACAGTATTTTGAGCTTTGTGTACTGTGTTGTACTGCTTTACATTAATTGACCAATTTGATGGCTAATTTTAAAGGGGTCATATAATGGTACATGCACATTTACAAGTTGATTGTACAGAAATGTGTGTTGGCAGTGCCTGTACACAAACATCATATAATGCTAAAAATCTATCCAGTGTTTTTGTTTTAATCTCCTTAAATGTTTTCCCCTGAATAATATTCCCCACGCGCGAATCATTTCTCACCAGACTGCTTTATAAACGAGGGTCAGTAAAGCTGGTTTTGAAAAGAAGCTTTTTTTTTAATAAAATCTTTTATAATAAGTAGAAAGAAATAAATTGAGAGTTCACATTGTACTGTAGTCAATTCTTAAGAAGTCACTGTATTATAATGTTTTTTTGTTTGCTTTTTCGTTGTTTTTTGCATAAACTGACATGCGGCCAATAAAATCACATGATTCAGAGTCTAGGCCAGAATATCCAAGCAAACCCAGGCAGGAACAGTGCTATGAGGACGGAAGAGAACAGATTCACTCCGTTGTTATCCAGGATGGGTTTTCCACATATTCGTTTAACACTTGGTGACTCGTAACTAACAACTTTCCCAGTGGATTCATCGTATCCTTGATGGAGAGAGAGAAATGGTCATCATGAATAATTTAAAAGAAATACTGAAAGAAAAATAAGCACAAAAGGTCAGTCATAAATAAGATTGTCCAATATGATAAAAGAGCATGTTTTGAGTGTTGGCCATATCACATACATTTTTACCACAAACATTTTATATTTTTTCACAAATGTTCATACAGTTATTTCCAAATGTTTGTATCAATTATTACATGCAAAGTCAATAAAATAAAAATACAATAAAACCAACAACATAGTTACTGCTCGTAGATATGGGAATCGGATTCAGATATGGAAATTTTTTTTTCTTTTCCGATGCGCTGTAGATTAAGCGGACCAATCAAAATAAACTGGATCTATAATAGATCTATCAAAATAGACCAATCAAAATTGAGCCTACTAAAACGTGATGCCCATTCAGTGCTCAGTAACTTGGCATTCCCAGGTAGAGTAAAAGGAGGGTAGAAGTTTATATTGCATTGAAAGTAAATTAACCACTGTTAGTATGACTGGTAGAGGAAACCTGGAATAATAATGTGACATGTGAATAATTTGATTTTATTTACCTTATTATATTTCCATTGGTTTATCTCATTTTGATTTTATAATATTAATCAGACAGTTTACCTGAATACTGCACGGTTGCACCTAGGAATGAGTCCAGCAAAGATCCAAACAGGCCAGCTATTGCTGCATACAAGATGATAGGCCACTGAGGAACTGTCAGATGCAAATCTTTCACCAACAGTAGCTGCATGACGAAGTACGCTACACCTACTGTGCCTCCACCCAAAACACTGGCCACTAATCCAACAGGAGTGACTCCACCATTGGTACCTATAAACCATTTTATTTCAGTGAGGACAAATGCAATTTTCTTATATACATATATACACACACACATATATATATATATATATATATACATATATATATATATGTATATATACATATATATATATATATATATATATACACATATATATGTATATATATATATATATATATATATTCACATATACATACACATATATATATATATATATATATATATATATATATATATATATATATATATATATAGAAGAGTTCAGATGCAAAAGCCTCTAAATGCCATTTGAAATTTTCTTCTTTAATGATGATTTTTATCAAACTTGTATATTTAAGTTCAGTAATTTCACTTAAATAACAATTAATAGGTAGGCCTAATCACCATTGCCATTTAAATGAAATCACTGACCTTAAATATACAAGCTTGATAAAAATGATCATTCTTGAAGAAAATTTCAAATGGCACTTAGAGGCTTTTGCATCTGAACTCTTCATATATATATACACACACACACATATACATACATATATATATATACATATATATATATATATATATATATACACACACACACATATATACATATATATATATATATATATATATATGTATATATAATATATATACACACACATATACATATATATATATATATATATATATACATACATACATACATACACATATATATACACACACACATAGAGGAAATAATTAAATGTAAAAGCCCCCAACAATACCTTAAAAAATAATCAACAAAGGCTATAGTACAGTAGCCTACGTTACACTGAGATTTCATGTCGGAGCTGGATTTGAGCGCTTGGGCCGTGAGCGACTGAGTGGAGCACATTGGCATAGAGCGGAATATTGAGAATAGCTCACATGCTAAGTTATAACTATGTATTCAGGATTTACATTTATATATTCAGAGTTATAAATATATATTCAGGATTTTCATTTATATATTCAGAATTCTAACTATATATTCGGGACTTACATTTATATATTCAGAGTTTTGACTATATATTCTGGATTTACATTTATATATTCAGATTTATAACTATATATTCGGGACTTACATTTATATATTCAGAGTTTTGACTATATATTCAGGATTTACATTTATATATTCAGATTTACATTTATATATTCAGAGTTATAACTATATATTCAGGATTTACATTTATATATTCAGAGTTATAACTATATATTCAGGATTACATTTATATATTCAGAGTTATAACTATATACTCAGGATTACATTTATATATTCAGAGTTATAGCTATATATGAAGAGTTCAGATGCAAAAGCCTCTAAATGCCATTTGAAATTTTCTTCTAAAATGACCATTTTTATCAAGCTTGTATATTTAAGTTCAGTGATTTCACTTAAATGACAATTAATAGGTAATCTTCAATGCCATTTAAGTGAAATTACTGAACTTAAATATACAAGCTTGATAAAAATGGTCATTTTAGAAGAAAATTTCAAATGGCACTTAGAGGCTTTTGCATCTGAACTCTTCATATATTCAGGATTACATTTATATAATCAGAGTTTAACATTATTTTCGGGATTTACATTTATATATTAGCTTAGCTTAGCTTTTTTCTTTCATTCTTTTCATGAAAAATGCATTATTTATACCAATCTCAAACAATTCATTTGAAATTTCCTTTACATTTCCATGATCAGAAAGGAGCAGATGGAAGAATAATATTCTTATATTTATCTGCCCCCTTTATAGACATCAATAGATGGCATTAACATTGTTCCCTCCACCATCACCTAAATTTTATTAACATAAATAATAGATGGCATTAGCATCACCCAAAATATTTTAACATACATAATATATATCATTAGCACTGTTCCCTCCACCATCACCCATTCTCCAACATATCTAATTTTTATTTCAACTTTTATACATTTATACATTGACCATATGCAGTTCAATTCAAATTTCAGTTTGATATAATTCAAGTTGTTTCTTTTTATATCTCTTTTTAAATTCCAAAATATTTGTACAACTTTAAGTTTTTCCTTAGAAGATTCCATGCTTTTACGCCAGCAACAGACAAACACATTTGTTTCAGATTTGTTCGTGCTATTCTATTAGATGTTTAAAGTCATACGGCCGTCTGTGATTTCCATCTTCAGAAGTACAAACAAATAACTTTGTAGGTCATGTGGAAGAGCTTTGCTTCTAGCTTTAAACATCACTAATAAAGTTTGTAATTCTACAATATCTTTAAATTGTAATAATCCTGACCTAATAAAGAGTGGATTTATGTGGTCTCTATATCCTGCTTTGAAAATAATGCGAATGGCTCTTTTCTGTAAAATAAATAGAGGCATAGTGTTACTGTGATATGTATTTCCCCATATTTTTACACAATAGTTTAAATAAGGAAAAATCATTAAACAATATAACATTTTCATTGTATTATACAGTAGACTGTATTTAACCTTATTCAAAATAAATAGGCTTTTTGCCACCTTATTTTTAACATGCAATATATGACTTTTCCACGTCAATTTTTCATCTAAGGTGACTCCTAAAAATCTAATTTCGGACACCTTTTCGATATTTACATTATTTATAGATAAGCTGACTTCCTCTTTTCTTTTATTGCTGAATATCATAAACTTTGTCTTGTTCAAATTTAAAGATAATTTATTTTCATCAAACCACAATTTTAGTTTATGCATTTCATCTTCAATATTATTAGCTAAAGTTTTCAAGTCATTTCCTGAACTGTATAAATTTGTATCGTCTGCAAATAATACGTAATGTAATTTTTTTGAAACCTCACAAATCTCATTTATATAAAATAAAAAGTTTAGGTCCTAAAATTGAGCCTTGTGGAAGTCCACATTCAATATTCATGCATTCTGACCTATGACCATCCAACTCAACATATTGTTGTCTTTGTTGTAAATAGCTGGTTAACCAGTCCAGTACAACCCCTCTAATTCCATGAGCATATAATTTAGAAATAAGAAGTTGATGATCTATAGTGTCGAATGCCTTCTTCAAATCAATAAACACTCCTATTGTGTATTTATTTCTGTCTATTGCGGTTGTTATGTCTTCAATAATTTTCATGATAGCCATTCCTGAAGACCTATTTGATCTAAATCCGTACTGATTTTCATTTAATAATCCATGTTTTTCAATAAAGTTATCTAATTTATTAACAAAGAGTTTTTCAAGCACTTTGGAAAATTGAGGTAGGAGAGATACTGGTCTATAGTTATTAAAAATATGTTCATCTCCAGTTTTTTTTATGTCACATTTATATATTCGGAGTTATAACTATACATTCAGGATTACATTTAATTATTTCCTGTTTGGCCCCCCATAATACACACACACACATACATATATATATATATGTATATATACAGTGGTATGAATAAGTTTTGGCACCCATGCTAAAGTTGCCTAAAAAGAGGAATAAAAAATCTTCTTTTGGATATTGATCTTAATGCCTTAATTAGAAAAATGAGGAAAACTCCAACCTTTAAGGACACAAAATTTCTTTGTGAATGAATAATGTATCATAAATAAATGTTTTTCCTTAAAATACAGGGTGCATAAGTCAGGGCACCCCAATGTTAAATTCCCATGGAGTCAGGCAAATTTTTATTTTTAAAAGCCAGTTATTTTATGGATCCAGGATAATATGCATCCTGATAAAGTTCCCTTGGCCTTTGGAATTAAAATATCCCCACATCATCACACACCTTCCACCACACCTAGAGATTGGCATGGTTTTACTTCAGTTAGCCTAATAGCTGGTTTGATTTGCATTGAAAGATGATCTTATGGAAAGTACCCCATGCCAATCTCTAGGTGTGGTGGAAGGTGTGTGATGATGTGGGGATATTTTAATTCCAAAGGCCAAGGGAACTTTATCAGGATGCATATTATCCTGGATCCATGAAATAACTGGCTTTTAAAAATAAAAATCTGCCTGACTCTATGGGAATTTAACATAGGGGTGCCCTGACTTATGCACCCTGTATTTTAAGGAAAAACATTTATTTATTTATGATACATTATTCATTCACAAAGAAAATTTGTGTCCTTAAAGGTTGGAGTTTTCCTCATTTTTCTAATTAAGGCATTAAGATCAATATCCAAAAGATGATTTTTTATTCCTCTTTTTAGGCAACTTTAGCATCATGGGTGCCAAAACTTATTCATACCACTGTATGTGTGTATATGTATATATATATATATAAACTTCAATGAGCCCATGATCACGGCTTAAAATCGATAAATGCTCCAAATCCACTTTTGCGTGTCGTCATACACAGCAAAGCCAGTATTCCCAGGCTTTCAATGAGAAATATTTGCTGTAAATACAGTGACGCAAAGGGCATGGTCATTTTATCATCATAAAATATAATATTGTCATTGTGATATTTTGGGGCATGATTATCATTAGCATTGTTATGCACCTTGGGAGTGAGAGTAATGGGTTTGTTTTTTAATGGATGTCAATAGAAAAGTGGATTCAAAGCACTGAGTTCAGTACACTGACTTTTGTGAGGAAACCGCTGATCACAGCTGATGAATTGACAGCCTGTATACTAATCTTAAACATGTTTACCATTAAACATTCATTTTGGAGCTGCACTACCAGCTAAATTTTTTAATAATACGATTTGTTAATGTTTCTTCTGTATTTGAAAGTATCTTATGCTCACCAAGGTTGTATTTATTTGATTAAAACATTACAATTTCAAATAACTTTTCTATTTTCAGAGGGTCATAAAATGCAGTTTCAGATTTTTATATCATGTTTGTTTCTTGAGGTTATTATAAGTAATGAATTTAACTACGGACCTGAAGAATATATAAACAACTATGAATGGAGGTGCTATAAAAATAGGATGAACTTGCGGTTCGCCCTTTTACATTGAACACCCTACTAGTGTTCCAAGTGCCAAAAGATATGGCTCAAGAGGACTCATACTATTCTTCCATCTTTAAAATATATCTAAATTTCTAAATTACGACATATGCTTTCAGTGACAAATGTGAATGCATTTAGTTCATGCATTCATTACCTCAAGGATAGATTATTGTAATGCTCTTATGGGTGGTTGCCCTGCACGCATAATAAACAAACTACTGCTGGTCCAGACCAGAAACAGGAAGTATAACCATTTTAACCCCGTTCTGCAAACACTGCATTGGCTCCCTATTGAATTAATTATATCTGTGTGTATGTTAGGCAAACATGTAAGTCCATTTATAAAAACCAAACTGGATTTACCAACCTGTCCAGCAAACACAGAGCTACCTAAATGTTGGATTGGAAGCACTTCTACCGGCGGAGATCTTCCTACCTTTCAAAGGCTTTTCCAATGTAAATCCTTCCGCCATTAACACATTTTTTTAAAACCTACTTTTTCGAACTCGTCCTAGACGGCTGCTCCAATTTTCACAAATATTTAACCAGATCATTTTCAGACCATGCTGAAAAAATGTTACAGTTGATAAAAGTTGATTCGTCAAACTGTTTTTGAATACTTATTTTACATTGCAAAAACATACTTAAAGCTGTATCTCTGCAACACTTTATCGAATTCAGACCAAACTTACATGTCATCACAAGCATGACTCGAGGCTACATGCTGCGTTTCGGCACATCGCTACCTACTGGTCCGGATGTACGAAAAATTCCGATTTCTGGTAAGAACTTCGGAACAATTTGTCCAAAAATCATAAAAGTGGTCTCGCAGATTCAGGGCGTCACGCCGAGTCGACTGATATCCGGCACAATGCTCTGAAAGAGTCTGAGAAGTTTCGAACTAGGGCCACCTAGTGGTGAAATTTTTTTTTTTACATACTTAGAACTTTGGATTTGGTTGACTTATTTTCACGGGAGTCATCTCCTTACATTCCTGAATCCTTGCAGAGTCTAAAGATACCAAACATTCTAGGTTTTGCCTTATGGTTAGCGCAATGTTGTAAATTAACGCTTAAAAACATTTACCAATATCTTCGAAACCGTAAGACCAATAGAGACGAAACCACCTTAGGAAGTTTGGAAACATATGTTGTTGGAACAAATACCCAAATGTCAAAATTTTTATAGTAAGTAGCAAAAAAGTCACCCATGGGTCATTTTTTATGCTCTCGTACATATAAATGTTTATAACTCCCAAAAAAAAAGAGAGATATTTTCATCAAATTTATTTGCGCTTGGCCATGATAATTGCAGCTTGGAGCTAAATTATTTCTTTTGTTTTGCATGGGATTTATTAAAATACCTTAAAAAAATTAAAAAAAATTTATAATAATTTTTAAAGAAAGGGTGAAGATGTGATTTTTTTTCATGTGAATCACATTTGGCAAAACATTCTGTTTGTGTTACTACTATTTTTTTGGTATCAACAAACAATGATTGGCAGTCATAAAACAAAGCAGTTCAATCATTCAGAATCAGATTTATAATAAATATATTTAAATCTAAGATGTCATTTTATTTCTGATATTTCTATTTTGGCTAGTTGAAGTTCTGAATGGCAGGTAACGTAGGTAATTTTGTAGCCAATTTGACTGGCTAATTAAAAAAGTTAATTTCAAGCCCTGGACCATAATTATTGACTGTGGTCATTTATAGCATCTGAGGAATCGGTTTGTGTTTTATTTAAACATAAACTGATTCCACATATTCTGCTAACTTCCACAATTTCATTTTTGGGCTCTTTACCTGGTGGGACATCTCTCCATGAGGTGATGAGCCTGGGCGTGCTCTTACTAAGCACAGGACCCACCTCAGAAGCCCAGGTGTCCCCTGTGCTGCAAGCCAGGGCTCCTAATAGGGATAAGCACATCCATGAAGCAGAATATTGCTTCCCAAAATCCACAGGTATTTCTCCAGGACCAGCTTCGATCATATATAGCAGGGCCAATTCTGTAGGAACACCACCATTACAGAAAACTTGCAACCAGTTCCTCTGGCCACCTGCAGAGATTAGAGAAGTCAACATCTGTCATAATATCAGAGGTGTTTTTTTAAGAAATGTTGCGTTAGACAGCACTGGAATGATGTGTCTATAAACAAGAACTATAAAGCTTAATCATTTTAAGAACATTTTGGATTTTTGAGGTCGAAAATGAGAGACGTATGGCTCGGACCAAATTAGATTTTCGGAACACAACCTGAAATGTATCTCATGATACCACCAGAGCTGATGGAAACAACTAAGCCTCTGCAGCACTCAGAAACGGTGAAGAGAATTATGAGGGCGAAGCAGAGCAGAGAGGTTTAAACCTTAATCCATTCGAAAGGACATACAGTATAAATACTTGACCAAATTAAAAACCAAAACTGGAAAAGTCTGCACATGTCCAATAATGTAGAAATGGTGTAATAAAGTATGACACACAGAACGAGCTGTTGATGAATATAGTGTAATTGTAAAATGATTGTTGTGACAGTAAAATTCTGCTTCCACTTATCATCTGCGAAGTGGAACAGGAAAAAATCCCAGCAGTCCTTTCTTCAAACTTCCGCCCACAGACACCTTATTAAGGACGTGGGATGGGGCATTTGTACTGCTTGACTGATTGTACAATGATGATCTCAGGTTATGTTTCGATTCGTCACGTGACAACTTCTGGGCAAATGAGACTGGGGGAGGCTTTAGGAAGTTGAATTTGATTTATTAATTTATTCAGCATGTTTTAATAGCTACATTATATTCATATTTCATTTTGAGTTAAAAAAATATTTAGTATAACTTTCAGTCAGTAGCTACGGCCATGAAATAAATGTATTAGATAATGTAACATTTCACAATTTCAATCATCATACAGTAACCTGCACCCCCCCCCCACCCCCCCACCCCCCCACGTGAAGTATTTAAATACAACTAATGTCTTCAGGCTTATAGAATGACCTTTTATGCACTAATTTAGTGAGTTAAACACAAGACTAAGATAGAGATTTCTTTGGCTATTTAAATTCAAATTAAACTAAAATGACCATTATGACCAAATGACCAAATATCTGATTTGTTAAAGTAAAAACTTACCTTCTTTATAATCGGAGTCAATTTGTTTCTTGATGTTACCCTTCCATTTGGTTAGTTTGGTGGATGTGACGAAAAAGGTGAACAAAGCTGCAAAAAAGCTCATGTTGGCCATAGTAAGAACAAAGCCAACCAGCATCGCTGCAAAGAGGAGAAAAAATTGGTTTATTTGGAATTTATTAAACTAGTCACATCATCATCAGTACAGTAAAGTCCATTCAGTCCAACTGGATCAACATCAAGATGATCCAATTTTAATATTATATAATATTACTTCCTATTACATATTATATAATTTCTTACTATTGTAAGATATTTCCATCCTAAATGATTAACTTTCACAAGTTAAACCATCATCCTTCCCTCAGGTTATTTTGACCTGGAAATTTGTTTTGAAAAAAAAAACTTTAAAAATTGAGTGTTCATCGGAGGGGTCCAAGACCCCATGACATTTGTCGCACTTGAACCATGAATATACTGTACACACACACACACACACACACAAATTAATGGATTTGAGGAAATAGAGGCATCATCAAAGTCGTCCATGTGACATCAGTGGGTTAGTTAGAATTTTTGAAGCATCGAAAATACATTTTGGTCCAAAAATAACAAAAAAAACTACAACTTTATTCAGCATTGTATTGTCTTCCGGTTCTCTTGTCAATCTGCATTCACGAGTCCACAGTGACACTGATGATGCAAGACTGTGGTGACGTGTATCTGGTGCGTCCATGTATTCGGGTTCAACTGGGCAAAAAAAAACTTCCTCTGTGTCGAAATGCTTAGTCATGTTTGCGAAAATTGTTTTGTTTACAGCGTGCATTTCCCTCACACTGTAAAAGAAGCTTGGGTACACCAGATTACACATCAGCAGCGTTTTACGTCATCAGCATCACTGAACGCGGATTGACAACAGAAACGGAAGACAATACAATGCTGAATAAAGTCGTAGTTTTTGTTATTTTTGGACCAAAATTTATTTTAGGTGCTTCAAAAATTGTAACTACAATTGTAACTAAAATTGTAACACTGATGTCACATGAACTACTTTGATGATGTCCCTATTTCCTTTCTGGACAAGGACAGTATATCATGTATACATTTTCAATGGAGGGACAGAAAACTTTCAGACTAAATCTAAAATATCTTAATCTGTGGTCTTACAGGCTTGGAATGACATGAGGGTGAGTCAATGACATATTTTTTTTATTTTTGGGTGAACTAACCTTTTAACCCTCTGGGGTCTGAGGTGTTATTGGGGCCCTTGAGATGTTTTGAAATGCCCTTACATTTGTGCTTATTTCAGTTACTTACAACATACCATTGGCCAACATATAATTATGCTGTATTCAGTACAAACTCTGCTACAATAATATGTCAGCAAAATGGATGTACATGTTTGCATTTTATTCAAAACAAAATTATGCATGGTTGGTACGTTATGCGTGGTTAGTACGTTTTAGGAAAATAAATTTCACTGCAATAAGTAAGGAATAATTGACGACAGGCCGTTGAATTATTAGAACAATAATGCACACTCGAGGCGGTAATGCGGTCATGACGCGAAGCGGAGTGGCCGTTACACCTCCGGTGTGCATTATTTTTCGGATAATTCAACGGCCTGAAGTCAATTATTCCGCTTATACTACAGTTACCACACCTCAAAACATTGTTCAGATGATTCATATCAAGACGTTTATCAAGTTTTTGACATTAAAGCGATCTTGTATGTAGGACTAATTTCTTACGCATCTAATCCCATGCCTCCGTTGCTAATTCCAAAACGTAATTTTAGAGGTAGTAACGGAGGTTTGAGCCACTGATAGCAGACCACGCCGGTTTCAGTCATTTTAAGCCAAAATGGGGGTCAACCTTGAACAAATTGCAACAGAAGCAAACTCAACTGATTTTGTATCCTCAATATGTCCTGAGTAAGGAAAAAAAAGCCCCGAAGAATACCATTGGGGAAAGTTTCGAAAAAGACCCAAATATATCCCATTCATTCGCCTATGCATTCTTTTTCTCACGTGAATAGGGTAAAAATTTTAACCTTATAAATTAATAGTCCTGCTGCATGGATTTTCGTAATTATTCCAGATAATATAACAAATAAAAAATTATTGATAGGCTTACTTGTTAAAAGGGCTTTGTGTTTTTCATTTATTGTGTTATCTACTGTCAATTATAGAAAACAATAATGAACAAATTAATTAAAACGAAGTTAATAAATAAATAATATTGACGCACATGCTTTTCTGTCTCATTATTTCAACGTCTCTCTCTCTCTCTCGCTCATTTCCTCTCTCTATAACTCCATTAATAACTGCATAAAGCCGGGACAGACTAGTTTAGGCCTACTAATAGTCCAGTCATTTTATGAAAAAAGGTTGAACAAATTGCAACAGAAGCAAAGTCAACTGATTTTGTGTCCTTAATATGTCCTGAGTAAGGAAAAAAAAGCCCCGAAGAATCCGATTAGGGGAAAGTTTAGAAAAAGACCCAAATATATCCCATTCATTCACATATTCATTCTTTTTCTCACATGAATAGGGTAAAAATTTTAACCTCAAGATATCATCATGAAAATCACTGAGTTGATTACTTACATCAAGACAAACAAAAAATGTATTACAAGTTTTTTGCAATTGTTTGTTAACATGGACAAATGGTGCATAATCTAATTACATATGTGCTAATTTGCATAATTACCCAAACAGATCTAAACATTGGGTATAGCAGGTGAAAATGTTTTTTGAATCTTGTTGACATATAACAGTAAAAGACTTAGGGGGCGGTTTCCCGGACAGAGATTAAGCCTAGTAAAACGCCCCTTTAAACCTGATTAACAGAAATCTGCTTTCTATGTCATGGCTTTAAATAGTCCTAGATTTAGTTTAGTCCAGAGTTTAATAAGCCGATTTCCTGGAGGAAGACTACAGTTACTCCAGGACTAAATTGAGTCTTAAATTAAACCTACCAGGAGGCAGGTTTAACTTCAGATTAACTTTGTGTTTCAAAGAAGACACCTGCATTACTTGGATACACACACACACACACACACATTCAATACATATATTAATATATAATTTAATTATGTTTTAATTGTATCGGGTTTCTTGTTAAAATGTGATTAGTTCATCTTAAACTAACTTGAAATGGTCACTTAACTTTGACTTCACTTGTTTTAATTTTGAAATATGTTTCAATCTAGTAACCTATACATGACATTCACTTCCCATCATGCTTTGCACAGGGCTGAAATGTAAATTTTGAAATAAAGGGATATTTTATGCAATTATTTTATTAAGATGAGAAAACAGAGAGAATGTTTAAAGGAACACTCCGACTTTTTGGGACTTTAGCCTATTCACCTTACCCCCCAGAGTTAGATAAGTCCATACATACCTTTTTCATCTCCGTGCGTGCTATAAGTCTGTTTGACGCACCCACCGCGAGCCTAGCTTAGCACAAAGACTGGATGTGAATGGTTGCAGCTTTCATACTAATCCAAATGAGTGGCAAAATAACGCAAACGTTTTCCTATTTACATGTTGTGATTTGTATAGTCACATAATGTACAAATAACAAAGTCAAATGAGACACAGACATCTTTTAACCGTATAAAACCTGGGAACTATTCTCTGAAGGCGAAGCACTGCTACTTTGACGGCGTAATAACCGCATCACCGGAGACACGCCGTGGTGAGGAGCGGAGAGTTCGCTCAGTGTTTGGGTAACAGAGTCAGCAATTTTATAAATAGTAAAAGCGTAGTTTAGTCATGGGTTTTCGCTCTATTGTAAATCGCTGCGACAGTAAACAGGGGAGGTATGTTTCACAGAATTCCAACTAAAAACGCTGACTGGATGAAGAAATGGCTAACTTACTCTGGATATTTATCCAAACACACCTAAATAGATTATCAAGGGACATTATGTTTGCTCGGTACATTTCAATGGACGACTATTTTGAAAAAATGGAATTTGCCACACGGACCATAATGTGCTGAAGGATACGGCCATCCCATCTATAGCACAGACAGGACAAGTGGATCACTTGCGGCTGAGGTAAGTGTTCCGTTATGTTTTTAGATGACCTACTGTAACAGTGCCATTAGCCAGAGCTAATGTAACGTTAGTGACACTATTATATGATTAGGGTATAAATGTTTTTTTCTTGATGCGGTGCGGACGCGCTTGGAAAAAAAACGAGCGCGTTCACCGCATTGAACTTGCACCCTGCGCGCGGCGCGCCTAGTAGCCTAAATTTGAAATAACCATGGAAATAACGAACTTGAGCGTGCAAAAGGGTACGATAGGCTGTGAGTTCATTGTGCAAAAACAATTTGTGCTATTACTTTCCCCGTATTCTATCCTATAGTAATGCAATTATGCTGTATATTATATACTGTTGAATACATTTGGTTCAGCTAATAAATTGCATTTAAAATATATTGATTACTGTAATAATAATTATTTATTCATGTGATATTTATAAATCTGGGTGCGTTTTTGGTTGGAAATCAATGAAACATGGTACTGTATTACCTGGTCTCCCCTGTTTACTGTCACAGCTCATACAATAAAGCAAACACCCATGATAAACTATGCTTTTCTATCTAACGTTAGTAATTGCTGACTCTGTTACCCAAACACTGAGCGAACTCTCTGCTCCTCGTCACGGTGCGTCTCAGGTGATGGTTATCACTCTGCCCAAGTAGCAGTGCTTCGCCTTCAGAATTATTTATACGGTTAAAAGATGTCTGTGTCTCATATGGCCTTGATATTTGCACACTCTGTGACTATACAAACCACAACATGTAAATAGGAAAACGTTTGCGTTATTTTGTCACATTTGGATTAGTATGAAAGCTGCAACCATTCACATCCAGTCTTTGTGCTAAGCTAGGCTAGCGGTGGGTGCGTCAAACAGACTTATAGCACGCACGGAGATGAAAAAGGTATGTATGGACTTATCGAACTCTGGGGGGTAAGGTGAATAGGCCAAAGTCACAAAAAGTCGGAGTGTTCCTTTAATGTTCTATTATTATGTTGTTATTTAAACGTTTATGTTATGTTAGTATTTTTGGGGGTTAGCGTTTTGGTGAAGTGTTCATTTTCATTTCATTTCATTTCTTTATTGTCATTGTTATAAATAACAACGAAATAACATCAAAGAGTCCTACAGTATAAGTGCAGTAAAAAGTATACAAAAGTGCAATCCATTTGCAGTGTTGAGCCTTGGATCGAGGACCTGCTACAAAAAGTCAAGTTGTATAATTAATAAAGCAACTCCTAGGTACTACTCTAGTTGAAAGTATTGCTTCTAGACTGTCAACACTGAACCCCACATGTGTAAAGTAATGTTTTAATAAGTTTGTTATGTAAATCACAGGAATAAATAAATAACAGGAAGCATTAATTAAAGCATATGAGTTGTTTGAATAATTCATTTTAAAGAACATCATTGATTCTAGTTGTACATTGTTGATTTTACATGTATATGTATTTTGTTATATATATATATATATACATATATATATATATATATAAATATATAAACACAAACAAATTTCCAAAATTTCTTCTCTTTTATTCCATAGCTGGTGTGTGCAGATTATTTAGCTAGCATAAAAATAATTTTCTCTTGTTAGTTTGTTTTTTGATTGCAATATTTTTCTGATGCCATTGTTTTCCTTGGATTTTCTTCTCAGTTCCATGCAATTTTAAGCTTTTTTTAAAGCTTTTTTTCTTGGTTCATTCCGTGTTTTATAGGCAACCTTTGTCATGCTAATTCAGATTAGCACAGTTGGTTTTAATTTAATCTGATTTATTTTAGTTCAGGACTCCATAGTCCAAGTGTAATCTGTACTTAATCTGTGTAACAAAAAGCCATTTTTTAAGACACGATTAACTATTCTAGATTAAGGCCTACTCCAGGCTTAATTTAAACCCTGTCCGGGAAACCGCCCCATAATGTTAAGGTCTGAATGAAACCCATTTAGGCAACCCATGAACATTAATGCAGGAAGAAGTACAAAGTACTTTAGAAACCAGCCTTTATTAATTATTATGGCAGAGATGGGGTTACACACACCAACATGAAATACGTCTCTTACAAATCTGGAGCGTGGTCATAAAAGTATTGATACTAATAAATTTAAGTATCGTGAGGTTTTTGATTTCCGAGTATCGCGATACTTTTGAAGTATCGGTGCATCGTGCAACACTAGTCAGCCTAATGTAATCATTCGTTTACTGTCATTGTGAGGGGACAAGAAACGGCGATTTAAAAAGCCGTTTTTTATCATGTTAGGTACAGGATTAATAATGAATGTGTACATATTGAAAATATAATAGAAATTGTAGCCTTTAAAAGGCTCAGCTTTAGAAGGGGAAGAGAAAGGGCACGATGTGGAGACTGACAAAAAAAAAAGGATGATGGAGATGAAGAGAGAGCAGGTATTGACAAATAGTCTACTGACATAGTTTTAAAGCTATTTCTTATCCTTTTTTTTGGTCTTCAAACATCTTAAAATGCACATATCAGAGATTAAAAAATTTAAACCCCAAACCTCCACCTCAAATGTAGGACCTCTTTGATTATAAAGCCCTGTCTACAGCCCTGTATTAGGCATCAGAATCAGAAAGAGCTTTATGGCTTTATCCCATGGTGGATAAGCCAATTTTGGTGCTGGTGCTTCCAGTGCACATATACGTACATGTGATAAGGCATAAGATCAATAATGAATGTGTAGCCTTTAATGTGAATTAATTTTATAAACTTAGTTACCTTTCCTAGTTTTCAGTAAATGAACACATCTGAGAAAATGATTCATAGGCAAAATCAACCAGTTGACCCTATACTTTCTTCACTGTCAGACAAAAATGAAAAGCCTATTATCAGTCAAAGCTCAACTTTAGGAGGGGAAGAGACAGGGCAAGAGAAAAACAACGAGAAAAAGAGTGTGATAAATAATCAGCTGCCCACTGACATGGTTTTATCCCCCCAAAAAATTGCCTTGAAAACATCTTAAAATGCACATAATAGTTCAGAGAATTAAAAATTTTCTCGGGGAAACCCCGAACACCCCTAACTGACAGCTCATATTAAGGACTACAGTGATAATAAAACCCTGCAATTGCATGGTAATGAAAGTGAGCGTTAGATCTTAAATTTTTAGATCTAAAAAAAAACTTTTAGATCTAAAATCTTTTAAAAAAAAATTTTAAATCATACCCTCATTGGGGGCTTAGCCCCCCTAAAAGGAAAATCCTAGAATCGCCCCTTCATGGGACTCAGGTCTTTTAGCATTGTGGCATGCTCTTCCTCAAGACATCTGTCAAGCATCCAACCTTCTCTCCATCAAAAACCTCTTAAAAAAACGTATTACTCTTCAGCTCACAATCTTTAAAGGTTCCTTGACAAGCTTATTTTTGTACGCTTTGATGTAGGCCTCTGCCTTGTTATGGATATAGTAAGAGATTATTGTTAAGTAGTTCTGAATATTACTTTCTGCCATCTTTGATGTTGAGGTTTTTTTTTTTTTTTCTTAACCTATATTGTAAAGCGACCTATAAGGTGTTGGAAAGGCTATATAATTAACAATTCTTATAATTAATAACCACCCAAATACCATTTAAGGATACCAGTCCTCTTTGAAAAAGTAATTATTTAATGCCAATAAGATTGAGGCATTCTTGCACAAAAACAAACATATTGTATAAACTTTCCATTTGAAATTGAACTCAAACTATGTACTGATTACTTAATTAGCTAATTAAATAAAAAAAAAGTATTACCCACAACAATTTTGAGTGATTCCTGAAGCAAATATTCCACATGTACAGTAAATAAGACTTGTCCTGACTTTAGTAGTGGTGAGCATGGGCGCGGGTACGGCCGTGCGCTTGCTTGGGGCGCTACAAGAATCGCCACCAGAGTATGAAATTTATTTCACACAAAATTTCTAGTTAGTTGGCTTGGAAGCATAAAAGGAGGAGTGACCACAGGGTAGATCGAGAGAGGAACAGGCATGATTTTATGTTGTGTTTTGTTTATGTTGTGCGTGGACAGCTTTCGTCAATGATGGGCTGTTGGCTTATACTATTGTTTTGTATTTGTTCATTTTACTATTACAATGTTTTTATGTTCGCCGGTTCCGAGAGCACTGAAGCAGTGACGTCCCACCCACTGATCTGTAATAGGCCTGTAGGGTGAGTGGGTCCCACACCTTTGAATAATAAATGAGCTAATGTTTGTAGTCTCTACACTTTTCAATGAAATGTGACTTCCTGCTTATTATGATGCAAAGTTACAATTTTTACGTCATAATAAGCAGGAAGTAAAACACTTCAATCCTTAATTCTCCTAGCTCAGGGGAAAATAAGGGAAAAAAACATGCCCATTCAAAAATATGACTGGGTTTCTAAAGAAACAAAGCTTAATGCAAATGGGTGAAGTGTTAATACAAAGCATTATAGCCTAGGAAAATTCTGTTAAGGGTGTATTATTTCCTTTATTTTAACCAGGAGAATCACATTGAGACATTACTCCTCTTCCAGAAAGACCTGAAAATAATATAATTAATAATATCTATGTGTGATAGAATGGGTTAGTTTAGATTGATTAGGGTTTTTGTGTGTGTGTGTGTGTGTGTGTTTGGCGCTCCTTTGGTACATGTGTGAAATTCCAAGCATGTCTGTTTTATGGTTTGAATTAAAAAAACTGTTAGAAATGTTTGGGAGTTTTTTTTTTAAGAAAGAGCTGCTTTGGAACATATTCTGGTGGTCTATCTATTTATAATCTGTAACGAGTGTTCAAACATTAATAATGTGTCATTAAAATGAACCCATAAATCCATCTGAACTTTAAAATGTCTTCCTCACCTCCTATGGCACCACCATGATCAAGACTTTTACGTTTAAAGGCTCGAAACGTGATGAAAAGAGGGACCAGTATTGAGAACAGCCACCGCCATGGTGAGACTGGCTGCAGAGTACCTGCAAAACAGCATTTTATATGCAAAGATTGAATTGTACATGAAAAGTCAGAATCTTCTGTTAACTATCATGACATTTCTAGGCGTAGAAATTACACTTTTTATATTCTCTAAAATTTCCAGGAAAGTGGGACTCAGAAGACAATTTCAATTTGCTTTTAAAGTCCCCGTGAACCGGAAGTTGCAAACGATTTTTCTCCAGTGCTGTGACGTATTTCCAAGTGAAACGGAATATTGAACAGAGGGCAGGGTTTTACTCAAGCGCTTCTCCTCTCCATCTCTCGCTCATAGCAAACTAACGGTTTGAGGGGAGTGGTTAAGCGTTTTCCCACCCAAGCTGTGAAACCTACGTCATCAGAAAAAGAAATCGTTCCAGACCGGAAGTAACTTTTCAGATTTTGATTAAAGATTACCAAGGTAAAACATTTTTTTAATACATATTTACTTGCACGGATTAATTGTTCACCACAAGACTAGTAATATGAGCTAACAAAGTAAATAGGTTCAATTTTGATTTCACGGGGACTTTAAATCCAATCATTTAATAACAAAAAGAACACTTATTTGCAAATGCTTAAAATACATTTTGAAATTAACTTTACACTTTTTTGAAATGCACACTGTAATCATTACATTTTAACATCTTTTCATTGTCAATTTGTTCAAATGATTTAAAGTGTTTCCTGTATTTGCAAAGTACACATTAATAGGTGGTTTGCAGTCACGTGATTGTGTTGACACGCGGAATGCAGATGGAGGGCAAGGAGTGAAGAGCGCAATGGACGAGATGGAGGAAAATCCGTAGTGTACTACTTTAGACGCTATTACAAGAGAAATATATAAACAGAAAATCAAAACATATGTTGGACGTGATCCTTACGTTATGAAGAGGAGCGATTTTCAACTGAATTGAGAGATTTGCCTGCCATCGGGGCTGTAGATATCAGCAACTAACTCGTCTTACAGACATACTTTGACTTTACAAAGTTCGGAAACTAGTCTGGTACGTTACACGAACAGCCACATAAGTGTATTTAAACACCTGAATAATGTAATTATAAGCCACATAAATAATGTATATTAACTCACATTTGAAGAAGTGATCACTGCACACACAGGCATTTTCCCATTCGGCTCCTCCCGACCGCAGACATAGGTTTGCAAGGCATTTTTCCCGGTGTTTTTCTGTCAATTTCTTGTATTTTCCACCCCTTATGAACAACAACTTTGGGCACACGATAAAAACTCCTCGTGGTTTGATCGATTTGAGCAACCATAAAAGACGCAAAACATAGGCATTTTGAGTGTGTTATAGTGCTTCCTAAATATAGAAAATCACTTCCTGCCCTCCATCTGCATTCCATCTGCATTTTCGTGACGTCACATGAAAACAAGCTATTAAATAGCCAAATGGGCTATATGCACGCATAAGTTCCGCATTTGACGCAAGGATGCTCGTCCATTTCCGGTTGTGGAGATTTAAGCGGAGGAAAACCGAGGAAAACAGGATTATGGCATCTTCAAAATTTAAGGAGTCTTCAAAATTTACTGTCCTCCCGTCTTTGAAACAAAACGTACATACGTTTAGATGTAATTTTATATATAGTTATGTTTATTTAATATAATTTTAAAAAGAAGCATAAACACAACGAGGGGTGTCTGTTTTATCTGTTTTTGTGACGAACGTTTCTTTAGTATAACCATGGAGTATAAAATTCAGTATAAATTCTCGGTATTGCATTGGACTCTACGATCGGCGCAAGTTATCGAGCATCCTTACACCTTCACCGGAAATACCGCCGTGCATAGAGCCCATTATTCTGTAATGGAAAATTTTGGCCAAGTCTGATTGCTTGCAAAAGCTTCAAAAATCCCAAGCTGTACACCAATGCAGGAGAGAGCCACAAGGACACACAATCTTGTATGTAGATGGTGGAACGATTGATGTATAAGTGTCAAAAAAAAAATACAAAAAAAATTACCAATTTAAGTCACAATTTCTAGTGAGAAATAAGAATTGTAATTTCGAAATATGTCCTTGACCATCTATAAAATTTTAATTATCTATTAAATTGAATTCATTCACTAGTTGTAAGACTAAGGTATCTGAAACCAGTTTTCAAAGGAGGCCCTTTCATACACTGACAGACTGGGAGGCTGGTTTCACACACAGCCCTCATGGATACAGATACGACTAAGTAACTCTAAAGCATGAGAAAGTGAGCTCTCACCATAGTAAGTGCTGGCAGTTATTGACAGGACCCAGAACGATAATGAAATTGCCAGTGTGGAACACAACACGATCATATACGCCATCATCTTGATGTAATCTTTGATGAATATACCATCCTCAAATTGCATGTTCAATGAGGAGCGCACAGCTATGGAGAAAATCAAACAGATTAGAGTGAAATGTCAACCGAATGTTATTTTTTCAGGATTAAAAAAAACAGTTGTGTTAAAATTGATTGGTAATCATAGTGCTACCTTCCCTTTCAAAAATGTGACATGCTGATTTCCTGTAGAGCTACAGCTCCTATGTGACAGTATCAGTATGTATTGTAGGGGGGATAAGCACAGTTTCTGTCAAAATGTATTATTTACTACACTCATTTTTACTCATTTGTGTCTCACTATCACAGTCAATATCATCCAAAATAGTATCAAACTACTCATTATTGCATAATATAATATGGAAGACCAAATATCTTATAATTATTATGATATAATTTAGTAACGTCATACGTTTATTGTATTAAATACACCTGTAGTAACTACGATAAGTTAGACATTATGATTGTAGTGAATTTTTGTAAGGTTGTCTACAAGCTTCTAACATCAACCTTTACCACTAACATAAATATTAAATTATTACCAACAACACCTGAAATAATCCTGCCACAAATACTTGTTCTCCACTTCCTCCATGTTTCCTGAAGTACAGCCACGTTCGGAAGTTTGTAACAGTTTGTAAATAAGCAAAGTCCAAATGTATTTTCGCTGTGAAAATGTGAACTGGAACTGACAGACAGATTTCCGTCAACTCAAACGAACAGCGAAGTTTGACCTATCAGGATAAAGTACGCAGACATACAAATGACGCATAGCGATTGGCGCAGGACAAAGCGGGGCTTTACCTTGATTGGTGAAAATCTGTTGCTCCATGTTAGTAATTGGATAGCAAGCCGCGAAGCCGATCTTCTTCTTCTTTTGCTTTTATAGTGCTTCGCAAACGTCTCTTGAGCACCTGCTTATGTACTGTGGCGAGAGCAGAGAAAGTACAGCCTGTATTACTCTGCCGTTTAACTATGAGGACTGATAAAGATAAATTAGACTGTCTTAAAACACACTTTTCAGTTTTCACACTATCTGTAATTTGTCCTGAAACAACGTACAACAGAAAACATTCTGTCATTTGTCATGTTTTTAAACATTTTCAACATGTCGCAATGAATTGTGTAACATTTTAAATATTTTTACAATAAAATAGCTAAATTCCTTGACTTGATATGACTCATTCCGTTGGTAGTGTTTTAATTATTCTAAGTGCACAGACTCCACACATTAGGCTTTTTAAATGTAATATTATTTGTTTATTTAAAATTTCATAAAAGTATCTTATATCCAGTGTGTAGGCACTCAAGTAATTAATTACTGCAATTTTATTGCTTTTTCATTGAAAATGTAAGTGATTACTCTTATTTGTTCTGCAATTTAATTACAGTTACTTGTGTTAAATATTGTATACTATGATGCAATTCTATGCAAAATATAGCCAAGTGGATTTAATATGCAGGATTTTTGCAGTAAAATATCCAAAAACCTCTGATATTTTGTTTTGTTGATTACTTAGGCTACAATATCTCAAATGTTTCCAACTGTTTGTAAATCATGAGAAAATTGCGATTTTAACCAAGGAAACAACAACTAACAAATTCCACCCACATGCCGTTTAGTGTGATACGTTAACTGTTAGAATAGGGTGACCAACAGTCCTGTTTTCCCAGGACGGCCTGTTTTCACGTCCTGTCCTGGCCGTCCTGGCTGTTTTTTTATAAAATGATGAAAATGCTGATTTTCAAAAAACTGCTGAGAAAGTTCAGCTCTACAGCAAAATATATGTGGGTAAACAAGGAGGAGGAGGAGGAAGAAAAACAGGATAAAGTGAAAGAAACCTAAAGATATTTTGTTTAGTTAGTTTTTGTAAGTTTGTGTGAGAGCTATTTTTGTTCAGTTAGGAAGTATTTCTTTTAGTTATTTATTATTTATATTTTTTTTCTAATAAAGAAGATACATTATTTCATTCATTATTTTTGAAACCTGTCATAATAAAACATGTTGAGTAGCCTAACCTCTGAGAAGCCTATCTGAATTTTTATAACCATTTTATCCATAGGCTACAGTGGAGGCATAGCTTACTTGAAATGTATTGAAATTAAAAAGCCATCTTTGAGAAAACTTTATGTAGCCTATTATTTGAGTATCTGTTTGCCGGGCCGAGTGTCCTGGTTTTTGGTATTCAAAATATGGTCACCCTATGTTAGAACAAGTGAAACAGTGCTGTGTTACCTCAAGTTCCTCTAATAAACTGACCTGTGTGAGTATTAATTCAGCACTTGCGTGTAGTTCGGTAGAATCTGGTAGAATGAAATGTCCTTATTCTTTTATTCGGGGGGCTCGCGTCGCGTTGCGTGTGGCTCTGGATAGCCTACGTCTACCAATCGCGCCCTGCTTCATACCACAGTCATGATAAAATGTATTCACTCATCCATAAAAGATACATTAGCTTGACGACAAGATCCATAATTCAGCTCAATGCGGAATATTAACACCCTGCATTACAGTAATATGCCTTTCTTATCGTAAGAGGTTAGCGACCCCTGGTGGCGACACACCCTGCATATTGTACCTCGAAAGTAACCTATGTAAAAAATAATAATAATAATAATAATAATAAAAAAGATTAATTTTAACCTTCTCCCTTTAAATACTTGAGTCAGGTCAAGAATAATGCATATCATTTTAATTTTTTTATTTATAAGAGCAGTTTCATGTTTAACATGTTTCATGTTCTACTGGTTGTAATTAATTACTTTTATAGAGTAACCCAACACTGCTTATATCATACAAAAATAATACATTTAATCTTAAATGATTTCAAACTTTTGTCTCATTGGTACACAAATACATAAACATTTGAAAAACCTTGGGTGCAATATTTGTTTGGGTAGAAATGACCTGTAGGACAACCATAATTAAAATAAATAAATGTAAAAAAAAAAAAATCTTTTACATAATTTTCACACAATAATTGTAATTTTTTTAAAAATACTAACAAAAACATACATATATTTTAAACATGTAATAATATTTCTATAATTAATTTTTATCATTTAAGATTGAAAATCTGTATACATTTTGGTAGAGAGGTGACAGAAGCTTCTATTAGCGCTTAATCGTTTATTAGAGGTTATAATGAATAAAAGATTCTGCACAAAATTTGACTTTTTGGAGTTGAATAATTATCAATTTTGTCAATTATTTATTTTTTCATTTTTCATCAACTTTACATTTTCAGAATCCCTCAAATGTATATTAATAAACTTACTATAATAGTTTAGGCTACTGTTGCCTTTGTTGAATTGTTTTCATAAAAGCAGGAAAATGTCTTGCAGGTCGAGGGGTTGAATAATTTTGATTGCAACTATATTACAAACATTTTAAAAGACATATTTTAAAAACATCCCTTTATAATGACATAATGAGACCATGTTTCTTGTCATTTAACTAAGCAATTTAATAAAGAACTACAGACTAAGATATGATAGTAGACCAGGACACATCAAACAGGTATTACAAGTATTAAATATAAAATTATGATAGAAAATAATTAATCAAATAATAAATTAACTGCACTTACCCAGTGTACTTACCCAGAAGAAGAAATGTGTGATTTTTGTATTTCAATGTGACTCTCTGCATGAAAAACCATGATAATGCATTTCAAGACAGTGATCATATGATCTTAAAAGGGCCCTGTGTTCTGGGACACCTTTGATGGCTGACAACATGCAGCTAAACATGGTTGCCAAGTCTACTATTGGGCTACTTTTAAACTGTTGCCGTAGGTTAAAGGTTTGTTATATATTTGATTATATTTGATCTATTTACATTACACAAGTGATGTAAAAAGGGAGATTTTTGTCGGGAGGGGACACTCGTTGGGCCTTTGCTTGCTCCTGTTAGGGAGTGGTTTGCTCCAGTTTGGCAGTGGCATGTCATTTTAGAATTTGGGGTTAGATTTGATTAGTCAACAGGCTGTTTTTATTGTGCAGATTTGGCAACCCTGCAGCTCAATGACCATATTCATCTGCATGACCCATCAGATCATTTCTGAGAAACAGAGTTCATGATAATGTGCAGTAATTACAAGTTGTTCTCTGTTAATGCAAGTATAGAAAATGGCCATGAATAGCACAAAAATGGAGTTCTTGGTCTTGCATCTCCTTATTAAACAAAAAAAATATATAGAATATACTGGAAAACAATTAAGCAATATTATATTACATAATACGTTTCCATATATGGGAAACTATAGTGCTCATATTTTTAATATATTGCAGTATATGCATGGATCATGTATAGTTATAAAAAATATTGAGCACTGAGGACAGATTTTCATACATACAAACATTTCATACATAAAAATCTGTCTAGTCAGCAATCTGGAGACTCAGACTGCTGTTTCACCTCATTCACCTGGACATCAAAAAATATGTTTACTAAATACAAATAATCAGCCCATTCTCACCCCCAAGGCGTCACTTAACTGACGCCTTGGGAAGCATTTGGACATGCTTCAATATCTGACGCTTTAGGCGCCCTTTAGCGTCAGTTAGATGACGCCCTAGGAGGATCGCGTGTACCCTACCCCCACCCCACACCTAAACCTAACCGTGTCCTCTAACTGACGCTTTCCTTTAGCGTCAGTTAGATGACGCCGTAGGATCGCGTCATGTAAGTGACGCTAAAGGGCGCCTAAAACGTCAAATATTGAAGCATGGTCAAAGGTGACACCTTGGGGTGAGAATGCGTTGAAATAATTCATTATAAAAATTATATTAAAAACAAACTTGTATTACAATACCCTGAAACATAATACCCAGGGATTTCTGATGGAGCATGGGTTTGTAAGTTTAATAAAAAGCTAAGTAATTAAACCTCAAAACTGTAAAATTTAAATGAATACTTTAAAAGAAAAACAATTTTAAAAATGTTTACCTGCATGTATGTGACCAACATAAGTAACAGTGCAAAGCCATGCCATGCAAACATGGAAATAAGAGATTCATTAAATATAACAAGAGTTTTGGTGACCTGGAGTCCAAACTCAGTCTGATAAACTTAAACTTTTTTGATTCTCAGCTTCAGTGATTGTAAATGGATCGTTCTTTCTTGTACAGTAGGCCTATATAATTTAATGACAGTTTAATCATCAGATTTTTTTTATCCTACTAAGAGAAACAATGTGAAGTTGACCCCTTAGTCAATGGGTTATTTACTGGAACATGAATCATTGATCAGAAATCACTGAGCATCAGGCAGAATTAACACAGTTACTCACATTGTGGCATTACTGTCGAGTCCTCGATATCATAAAAGTCTGTTTGCAATGCCTGTGCTGAAATTGTGACTGATTTACCAAAGAATCCACAGTGAAAATTTACCAAATACAAATAAATAATGCTCAACTGAGACAAATAAATAACCACATTTCTAGCATTAGGATCCTTTCGAACACTAAAAAATAACGAGGAAGATTGTGCACTTTACATCATATATTTATAGTTTACTTATAATAATTGTGTTTTTTGACTTTGAATGTTTTTTTTTTTTATTAAGGTCCACGTAATTATGTATTTCAACTGTTTGGTTGAATAAGCATTTAAGCTAATATACTGCAAATAGTTAGTTATAGTCTATACATTAAATTATAAATAAATGATAATTATAAATAAATTATAAATAAAATTATGAAAATAAATTCACT